AGTAAATTGAGAGCATGGGGACCATGGGAGAGGGTAGAAGGGAGGAGAAATGGAGGGAGGGGTGTGGAAAAAAAATATATAGCTAAATAAAAACAATAAAAAAAGAAAAAGAAAAAGAGATAAACCCTGTCTTGAAAAAAGAGGGGAGGCACTTCATTATAATCAAGGGATCAATTAATGAGGAAAATATAACAATACTGCACATATGTACAAACTTTGCCATACCAAATTTCATCTTAGAAAAAAATCATACTAGTGGAATTAAATATACAGATTAACATATCCAATAATAACAATGTCAAAAGGTGGGGACTTTCTCCAATACAGCCATTCTTGGAGAAACTGTTTCAGCTCAAACATCCTGGTGTTCCTGCTCTAAGATGCTTTCTACCCTTTCTCTCCATGCTCCCTTTGTCATGGATGCTGTAGCTGTGATGCAGATGTCTCTGTTGGCGCTGTGCTCACCACCATCTGTTGAATTCTATATGTCCAGCTGTGGTTTTCTGGAACGGCCCCCATTTGCTATAAAGACAGGCTTTGATGAAAGATGATAGCTACTCTCATCTGTGGTTATAAGGATAAGATTTGGGATATAGTAAGAAATCAAGCTGGTTTGGCAAAATGACGACAGCAGATTCTTGTTTCATGTCCAGGACCCCACTATCTCTGGGAAGTGAGCTAAGTTTCTAGCACTAGGCATGCTACTTACTAAGTGGGACTTAATCCTGCCGGATAGCTTTGACTACCACCCAAGTATGATTGCTCCCTTTTGCACCTTTATGCATTTCTAGTCACGCAGGTAACTGTCCTGAACATAGATGCTGCATCTGGATGAGACTAGTTTCTTCCTGTTCACTACCTAAACGCTACTAGTTTAAGTAGTGTTTCTGGAACCATGGAAGCTAGACTGCAGGAAAGAGGCTTCCAGGTCAGATCAGGCAGTAATTACCTGAGCCCTGTGTCCTCAATATACACTGTCTTCAGCAGCAGCTGCCTTAAGAAGCAACCAAGGATTACACTGATAATCTATATTGGTTTAGAAGTCACTTGGACTACACTGACCAACCATGAGAAAGGAGGTATTTTGTTTTGTTTTTTCTGACAGGTAGAGGGGGTTTTGTCAGGTCTTGGTTACATGGAAATGAAAGCTCCATCCATCATTTTCTAACTGCCCTATGAGAGAAGAAGTAGGCAAGGTTTAACTTCCTGAAGACAGGGGTTTTTGTTAATCTGTGGCGCTCGCGCAGATCACTGTCAACCGTGTTAACTTATTTTAAGATTAATGTGCCTGTGTGTGTGTGTGTGTGTGTGTGTGCATACATTTTATATGTGTATAATTTGAGGTAAATATAAACTACAATTCTTTGAGGCTTTTATCAAACCTCATCCTTAGTGTTATTTGTCCCTCATCCTTCCTTCTCTTTCTGAATTGACTTCCCTCACCCCTTCCCAGTTGGAGTCCTCTCATTATTATTCTTCTCTATCACTTGTATCCTGCTATCCCTCCCCATCCCCCAACCAAGGACTTATATGTCACTGGTTTCTGTGGTTACTGCATGTTCTACACTCACATCTGGGTTTTTGGAGCTAGGCAACACAGATGAGTTTCTATCTAATTTTCATGTATATCCTCTTGTAAGGTTTTATAAATTTTAACATCTGCATGTATTAATTGCATTTTTTCCAGCTATGGAGGGGTTTGAAACCAGAGCCTTGCTCATGAAAAGAAAGGGAGAAGTGAATTATAGTCTTAAAAATAAAATAAAAAAGTATTTGTGTCACGATATAAAAAAAACCTTCATAAAATCTTATGGTGCTACAACTACATTTTAAAGAAATATCAGAAATGTGATACTGAAGTCAATTCAACCCTCTTCAGTTTTTGAAAGAATAATCTAAAGTCATAATTAAAATAATAGTATTGGAAATTTAATGTTATAAAAAAATAGTATGTAAGTTCTAAAATCTTGTTATCCACAACAGGCATTTTAGAAGTGTTTATCTTTCCATACTAGTCAATCTTTAAACACTGTCCAGTTAGACTAGACGATAGCTAGGTAGCAGAGTACTTGTTGAACATGAGCTTGCTTAATGTGTGTGTGTGTGTGTGTATATTATATTCGTAAATATGCCATGCTCAGTACATATAATGTTATTTGTATATGTGTTTTCAGAGCTGCCCACTTGGCACTGGATAACCATTAGGTGTGTCCTTCCCTGGGGGAACCACCCCTCCTGTTCCCGACTTTTCCTCAGTTGCCTATAGTTTTTTGATAGAGTTGCGGCCTTGTGGGCTTTCTTCTGTCTACTCTGTCATGTTCATTGTTGTTACCCTTGAAATCTTTGAACCTTTCTCAAGATGAACAAAAGATGATTCCTAAATAGCCAAGCAGTCAGACGTTTCTGTTGAATGTTTCAAACACAGCTCAACCTCCTCTACTTCCAAGCCAACAAATTCAACTATTTCTTTTAAACAGTGTGTTTTCCTCAAACTATCCTAACACCTGCCTTCTAATTCTTTGACATTTTCCCAGAGCTTTCAAGTCACCAATTTCAAAAAAATTCCTTGAAGACAGCCTGACAAAATTTTAGCTACGTCTAATTAGAGATCAGTCATTAACAAAATAGTCTACAGTACGGAAAGGTCAGTCACCTGAAATCCATTTGCTCTTCTTATTTTGACACAATAGGCATCTATTGGTAACAAAAATAAATGAAATGCTGTATACAGTACATCAAGATGTGTGGCACTCAAAATGGCACAGAGCCACTAACTGTGTCACTGTGACTTGTACTGTGGGCCACATATACTTGCTGTCACAGTGCAACTACTTGATTCTGCTGCTGTGAAATCACCCACAGATGGCAGATAAACAAAAATGGTTGTACACCAATAAGACTTTACTTGTGTACGCTGATGCTCAAGTTTCACACAGTTGTCAGGTACCACAAAAATAATGCTTTTGATATTTTCAACATTTTAAACTATTAATCCTACTCTTAGTTAATGGGCTCTACAAAAACAAAATGGATCTGATTCTCAAGTTCTATAAATACATTGCTAACTTGGGTTCCACAAGATCCAAAAGAATTACCTCTCTACATATTACTATTACTCAGTGAGGGGACTATGTTTATATTCTATTAGAAAAGCTAAATATGTTCTGATCCTAAATTCTCTTTAAAAATTTACTGAAAAACACTGAGCCTAGGGATTAGGCCTTACTTTAGATCACAAGATTCAGCACTTTACGCAATCTTGTAGAATTTTAATATGTCATATTGATAGGTATTAGCTGTTAGAGAATCCTGTGCTCGCTATCATTCACAGCAGGGTTCTCAACCTCAACACTACTGAAACTGTTGCCAGAAATTCTTTTTCCTAAGAGGCTGCCCTTTACAGGACAGAATGCTCAGCAGCATCCCTATCTAACATTCCCAGCTGTCAAATGTCCCACGGAGGACAAATACAGTTCAGGTAAGAACTACTACAGATGACTTACACTGAAACATCCATAGGCAAATCAAGTTAGAGGTACAGTAGAGATAATAAAAAAAACCTGTGGATCAGCTCCAATCCACTGTTAGGAAAACCTCTCTAATGTAGGGAACAACGTGCCTTTAACTCCCTCATTCTCATGCAGGGGACACCATGCCTTCAACTCCCGCATCATTCTGATGCAGGGACACCATGCCTTCAACTCCCTCATCATTCTGATGCAGGGGACACCATGTCCTCAACTCCCTCATCATCCTGATGCAGAGGACACCATGACCTCAACCCCCTCATTATCCTGATGCAGAAGACACCCACACATTCATCTCCTTCAACAGTAATCAGTCCTCTATGATTATCAAGGCTTCATTGTAAACACGTGTCTGGTGGAACAGCATGCGTTAGTTCCTTCAATTCTATTTGGACAGCTTTAAATATTTCAGCTCCCTTCCTAAGGACTAATCCTATAATCCTCCCCCAATATATTATCTGCACCACTGTACAGTATTTCCGAATAATACATTAATTATATCCATGAAAACTTTTGTCTGACTTTTTAGAGGGAAATTTAAACAAGTAGAATAATATACCGTGCCAAAAAACGAATATCTACTACTTTTAATTCCAACGCAAGGATAAACATACATAATGCTTAGCAATAAATGTTTCTTTCTAATCTCTGAACACAATCATGAGATAGCTTAAATATTTAAGAATATAGGGCCTTAATCATGTTTTCACAATTCACAAAGTACTTTAAATTGCCTTAAATATTTGAAGAGTACCAAAAAAATTAGGATTTCTCAAAACTCTCAAAAATTTATACAAAAACAAGATGGCAAAGGAATTTATTTAATAATTTATAATTGAATTACCCTTGCTTCAAGAAAAAAAAAGAATTCAATTAAGAGTAAAGTTTTAGTCAATGTTGTGGTATCAATGATTCCTACCTCTCACATTTAGTGACCACATTGCCAAAATGGCTCTGACACTAAATATTGAGAATAAAATAAGAAGTATTTATAAAATTTTAAAAAAATAAAGCATTATTCTAGTATATTGGCAACCAGTGGAAAATTAATGCAACATCACAATAAAATTCAGATTTTTAAAACTACTAAAATTAGTGATAACAATGAGGAAAATTAATTTTTCCCAAAATACTTCATCTGGGGCTTAGCTGGCTCAGTGCTGTGTGGTATACATAAAGACCCGTGTTCCATGCCAAGCCCCCACAGAGAAGCCCACATGATGGTACACCCTATATTCACAGCACTGACAGGCACAGACAAGGGAAGTCCAATGCTGATGCCCAGCAAGCAGAGACTAATGAGCAAGCTTCCAGTTCAGTGACAGACTCAAGACAGTGAGGCCCAGAGCAATGAGGGAGCACACTCAAGCTTTAATCCCCGAACACTGGGGACCAAAGCTGCTGAGATAGATACAGGAGCTCTAAGGCAGTGATTACACCCATCTTACACAGTTAGATTTTCTAAGTACTCACATCACTTGCAAACTGTCTGCTGTTAAATTATTCCACATGATCTCATTTGCCTGGAGGTTTTCATTTTCTTCTAATAAGGAAGTATCAAATTCAATTTCTTGTTCTTTAGCAGCTGTTGTTCTAGTAAAGTATGTCAAATAAGTCTAATCAATATTAATATACAATCATAATCTATCTCAGTGCATACCAAAGGCAAAATATTTAATATTATTCTAAATTATGCTAACAAAGTAACCAAATAGTATAACTTAGAAAACCCTAGGCATTAATGATCTAGTCATGTAACCTGAGTCTTGGTTTCTTTATTGGTAGAACACATTAAGTCAGTTTATTCCCATCACATTTTTTTAAAGTATGAAACAAGTTGCACGCAAAGCCAAGTAATTGGTGCCTCAGAAAAATGAACATATAGTAAGCTCATGGTGTCATTTATTATGCAAATGTCAAGAAAATACAGTTTCATAAGTTGAATATGGATTTAAATAATGACATGTCAATTCAAAGCCTTAAATATATTTTACAAATTAGTTAGCAACTTTAAGACACTTTTAAAAATAAAGTAAATTCATATAAAATAAACTCTGCTCTAATAATATTATTTCTTGAGTTCATTAAATAATCAATTATGAAAAACATTATCTTTATAAACAGCTTAAAAGAATGAAAATACCGTACCTGTGAACATCTATAAAATTATTATATTCTGTGCTAGGGTCTATCTGTTCGACGGACATCTGAATCTCTTTATGAACATTCACTATTTCCTCTGTAACAAGACTGGTTATCTGGCTATATTCATCAAATATACCTTTTCTGAAAGCAAAAATAAAATTATACATTTTAATATTTTGTCAAGAGAAACACAGACCCAGAAAGAACAATAAACATAAAAACAATAAATATAGAAAGCACAATATCGTTGTCTTCAGAGTGGTGGTTTTATGTACCACCTTATTTCATACACACAGAACATGAAGGGGCTATGTAACTGTGCCATAATGTAAACACACCATTACCAACTCCAGTATGTATCTAATATATGTATATGCATTAGATATATACTGATCTAATACTGATAACTTTCTATTCTTCAATATTCTTATAGAAGCACTGGGTTCTGTGTATGACACTCCTCCAATGTCCCATTCCCCTCTTAGACCTGGGGATGGATAGATAGATATAAGTGAAATAGATAGGCAAGTAGATAGATAGATCTTAGTTCAACTTTTATGGCTTCTGTTTCTTCTCCTGCCCTCCAATCTGCAGCAAAATTTCATCAAGGTTATTAGCTTGTTCTAATTAAAGAGAAAGGAAAAGAATTCTATCACACAGCCCAGATCTCTACTTTTAAAGGTTATACTTTATAAATACTGGTTATTATTGGTTTCAAAGAAAGTATGACAAATAAGCCTATTCTGTATATTCCCAAATAAACAAAACACAAGATTTGTCTGTTTTCTAAAATAATTACTTATGAATCAAAATCACTACTTATAAGCTTCCCCGTTATGTTAACTCAATTAAGTTTGTTTCTTTAATTGGTTGTTTTTTGACACAGGGTATGTATGTATGTATTTATTTATTATGTATGCATGTATACACATACACACAAACACACACATACACATACATATATATGCATATACATACACGCACACACACACATACACATACACACACACACACATATATATATATATCCCTGGCTAGACAGAAACTCACTATGTAGACTAGGTTGGCTTCAACATTCACAGAGAGCTGTGCCCACTAATGTCTCTGAGAGCTGGGACTTAGAGTCTGTATGACCATACCCAACTAATTGCTTTGTTTTTATAGAAAAATAGTGTTAGGGACAAAAACATAAAAAAAAAATCCCCACACACATCTTCAGTGAAAGAAAACTGAATCTAAATATTTGCAAAATGCTCAACCAGGGAATAAAGAAAGAAACATCCATTAAATATGGGTCATCATCTTCTGGACCTGTATACAGGACAGTATATATGTGCATGTGACTTACTAACTGCAGTGAACTATTAACTCCTTAAAAGGGAGGAAACTTGGCCCACATATACATTCCCAAGCAGGTATTCACTGCACACAATATTTTTCATTTAAACACACAGCTAACTGGAACAGCAAAGTAATGATAAATAAAATATATTGAGGTCTATCCTTCAGGCATGCCAGGTCATGAGTATAAGCGAAGGAACACAAGTGAAACTCAAAACAAAGTTACACGGGTCTGCATAATAATGAAGTTTCTAAAGCAAGTGTTGTACTGTGGGAAAAACGCTGACTCTTATTTGGAAGGGACTCATGATAAACAGGAAACGTATCTTACAGTGCCTTTATCATTTCTTCTTGCATCTTCTGCACAGAGTCCAGCAGCAGAGGAAGTGTGGTGTCATAGTACTGACTCTGGTGCAGCTGGGCGCCCTTCAGGGCCAGCACATACTGATTGTGCAGCATGTGGAGCTTCATCGTGGCTTTGTCATAGCGCTCCTTGGCCTTCTCTGTCTCCTTCCCTGGGGAAAACATTGAAGACAGCAAAGAGATAAGCGTTATCTTCACTGTATGCAATCCAGACTACTGTTATTTCCCATATTTAATGAAAAACCAACTCCACTGACTGTGTGCTGTGTGCAGAGAGCTGCTCTGCCAAGGACTGCTTGTCAGTACTCGGCACAGAGTTCCTGTGCTGCCCATGCTCAGTCAGTCACAGTCAGCACACACCAATACAGACATCCGACCCTCCTTTCCAAAGGCGCTCACAGCACATGGGGACAACTGCTCATATGAGAACATGTATGCTCACAGCACGTGGGGACAGCTGCTCACATGAGAACATGTACACTCACAGACCATGAGGACAGCTGCTCACATGAGAACTGTACGCTCACAGACCATGAGGACAGCTGCTCACATGAGAACATGTATACTCACAGCACATCAGGTCACATGAGATATGTACACAGGAAAACATGCAGATGTTAAAACTGAAAGTAGTGTCTAATAATCTATAGACAAGAATGCTCTGAGGAGGCCTGTAGAGAAAACAAACTTAAGAGATGCACATGGATAGAGAAGTGTCACAAAGATAACAAACAATACAGCCTTCCTCACAGCAAATATTATCAACTGGACACTTCTGTGTTGGAGGTTAGGGCTCCAAGTTTGAAGGAGTCCTTCATAAAGAGGACGGTAAACTGGAATATGAAGATGACTTAGAAAGAATAAGCAATGTGGAAGAGGTAGGCAAAAAGAGAAAGTCAAGTTCAGGAAAATGAAGACAGACTCTTCAGAGGTAGGACAATTCAAACTTGCCAATTAAGCAGAGACATATAATGTGGGAGATAACTGGAAAATACTGATAAATGTCATGAACCACAAATTTTTGTGGTTCTTTATTATAGAAATCACTTAAAATATTTATGTATTGCCAACATAAGTAAATAAATATACCCATTAATACAATTTTAAGCAAGTCACAGATTTTTGGTAAAAATTGAGTAAATATGACATCAATTTAAATTAAAGATTTTTTTAAATATTTATTAATTTCTTCCCTTCTTCAAAGGAAGTTCTTCAAATAAAATCCTATCCTAGAAAAAGACCTTACATTGTTTTTTAAGTTGTGTGTGTGTGTGTGTCTGTGTGTGTGTGTGCGTGTGTTTATCTGTGTGTCTGTGTGACTGCTATGTCTGGGGGGTGCTCATGGAGGCCAGAGAAGAACGTCAGATCCTGAATGTGGGGTGAGCCACCTGCTATGGGTGCTGGGAGCAGAGCTCTGGTCCTCCAGAAGGGCAGCAAGTGCTCTTCTATTAACCACTGACCTCTCTGCAACCCATAGCAAAAATTTTTACTAAAAGAAACTTTTCTTTGCTGCCAATCTGTTTAGGTTCTCAGTAATTACCTGCTGTTATCACCTGTTTGAGAATCTCTCCAGTCCCAATGAAAAAAGCAAAGAAAGAGTGAGGTTTTTGCAGAGACTTGGACACCGCCCCTACCGCTATTCCCAGGAAGAAAGAAAGCAAAGTGAGAAGTGCAATCCCTTGTGTCTCTCGCACCCCCTCTAACTATGAGGGCAGGGACATAAGATGAAAGAACATAAGGGCCAAAGGATGGGCAGAAGCACTGTGAAACGCTGCCTTCGGTCACAGCATGGCTGTCCACACAGGAAGCCACAGCAGCTATGGCTTCCTGCACAAGATCCAGACAAGTAAATAATCCAGTCTGGGGAGGCAGACCTGAGGCCCCGCCCACAGTGAGGCCCCTTTGGCAGCTGAAGGCTGCTGTGGGAAGAAGTCACTTCTTGAGCATGTTACCACTAAGACCTTGCCCACATCTCAGTGGTTAATCCCACACCTATGTGTATAAGGGCATTAGTGTATGTGGGCATCACACTATACTCAATGGGTTGTGTTCTCAAAGAAAAAGAAAAACATAAAAGATGGGATGGAAATGTGTTGGTGGGCCGAGGGAGAGTTGAATGTGTTAAGAGAGTGGGTGTGTTCAAGACACTTCATATACATGTATCAATTAGTCAAAGTATATATTAAATATCGAAATATCTACTAAAATATAAAAATACAAAGGAAACCACTCTTCCTTTAGACTAGCATGCTTCTATGACCCACAAATCTGAATTGCCCAAATACCAGAACCACTGCAGACCTCTCCTAAAAAGATGAGCAGAATTATTTTACAAAGGAAGCCCGGCCCCACCAATATCCAGATCCGGTGCAGAGGAATCTCACTAACTGCATAAATTATTTTACAAAATGTTAACCCTAGTGCTGTATTTCTCTGAGCTGGGAGTGGCAGAAAAGAGTAATTCAATTTTAATAAAAATTAAACTGCAAAAAATGGAATTTTTACATGATTTGACTGCAATAAGATAAGACATTTTATGTCATGAATCAGTATGGTACTCATACAGATTAGTAACACTATAACAATAAAAACTCTTATTCCTAGCTGGTTACCTTTGTTCTTTGTTTGTTTTGCTTTGTTTTGTTTTTTAATTCCATCCTATTTAAAATTTAGATTGGAAGAATGTTTATCAAAATCCAATGAACACTTTACCTCAGTTATACTAAATCCTTAAAGAAGTTTTAACTCAATAGTATGTCCTTGGAATGATCTTATTACTTGTAATTAAATAATTTCAAATTTAATTGTAAATAATTTTGACATCCCAATGAATTTATTCTTTCACAGAATAATGTGTAATTTTTCTGAGAATAGCATGTCTACAGTATTTCTACCCATGAATACTAGCATTAGCATCCTGCTTGCAGAAATAAAGTTCACTGAAAGTCCTATGTCAATCAATTGCCCTGAAACTTCCTCTAAACAATGGCTACTTGTTCCTCCCACCCACAGGAGTGAACTCCTGTAGGAAGCTGACAGTCAAAGCCCAAGACTTCCTTCCATCTGCCCAGTCTTGAGTAGAAGCTAAGTGGCACTACTGCCTGGGTGAGCGTGTAATGTACTGGCACCTGCCACACAGGCTACCAAGATTGCTGTTCTTCCTGTGACCACTTCAATGTCTATCTTGGTTTGCTCTTTTGTTTCAATTCACTATTTTTAAAAGCTAGCTTGATACTTAAAATTAAACAATTTAATTCTGACAACACAATTCATAGGACTACTAGAGTAGTTCAAGCCAAAAGATCCCTTCCACAGTCTACATGTTCATAAGAAAACACAGCTACCAATTAAGAGCACCTGAGCACTGCAGTATAATCTGACACTCATTTGTACTTTAAAAGTCCTGATGAGTGAACCCAACTGATTCCACACTTACTGCCCCATTTCTGAACTATTGTGTGGGACTTTTTTACTTTAACTCTAGAATTCCTAACTCATGGTTAATTTTTTCCTAACTTCAGAAGTCTTATCTCCATACATTTTCATATCTCCATACATACAAACATTTTCACTGGGACATTTAAACCATCCATCTGTTTCCTATTCTCACAGATTTTAAACTGCATCTGATTTTCTATCTGGTGTAGAATGACTCAATAAATACACAGCACTCGCTCACAAGGTGTTAATAATACAAAATAAAGGCAAACTTAATTTCACAGCTGCTTTTTTTCTAATTTAGGTATATTATATCAGCAACAACCTAAATAGGAACATTATAGTCAAAATCTAATTACCAACTGCTTACTGACAGTCATGAATAAAACTTAAAAAATAAGCTGCCTTTGAAGGCATCCAATAAATAATCCATTACATTAACCTAATAATTATTCAATAACACCCTGAGGTCTAAAACAGGATTTGAAGTTATAGTCTAGAAGGGTTCTGGGCAGATAGTGCACTGCCTCTACCCACACATCTCCCTTTGGTTGTAAAGCATGCTTGTGGTAGACACACGACTACCAGTTCATCAACTACAGCCTCCCTTACAGGTACAGACTTCTGAAGACCTGCTTCTCTATGGCACTTTTATAGATGTGTTTTACAAATAAATATCTACAGTCACACCGAGACTGTAAACCCCAAAATCAATAGTATATAAAACAAAAGATGGGCACTAGAAAGGGTAATGAGATTTATGCGACATGGAAGCCAGAAGGATTATTAGGTGAGATGAACAACAGTAGAAGGGGGACAGGAGATGGAGGGGAGTGGGCAGGGAGAGTAAGAACAAAGTACAGGGATAAATACGCATGAAATATCACAGTAAAGACCACTAATGTATACTATAACTAAAACTGAATAAAGACCAGATTAAAAATTGTTAATTCTTTCACTTAACAAAATTATTGTTTAAAAAGAAGCACCACCTAACACATTTCTAGCTAGCTCACTAGCATACTTTCTAACATAGTTTAAAATTAATCACACCCAAGATTAAAGGTGATATGAAGCACACAGGTGAACAAGTTGTTGTTCACAGGCCTCTGTTGCTGTGCATGTTTCCTGATCCGATGAGAGGAGCTAAAGCAACAGAGGAATTATTCTATGTGTCAATTAACAGGGAGGAAAACATCCAATTTTTCCTCCTCCACATAATGAAATTCAGAGAGATTGAATTATAATTCTTTCACCACTACTTGTTGATGAATCTGTCTAATGTTTTGTAATAACAGAGTGTGTATACAACATGTCATGCCATAAACAGTATTATGAAGCTAGAAAAACTCAATTATGTAAGGCTGACATTTATGAGAGACAAGCTACACTACTGATTAAACTCATCTAGAAAGTAAAGCACTGGTACTATAAACTTCTGAATTGATTACCATTTCTTGAACAGTATGGCACAAACTCCCTGATAATAAGTAAGAAGTGATTGCTTTCCCAAACAAAGCAACTATGTGCTACTTTATCTGCTTTGATTTGAATAATTATAAGCATTTTGTCATCTTATATTGAAAATGGCTGTGCTGTCCTACAAGCCCAGATGGCAATGTTCAGCATTTAAGTTAAAAAAGAGACATATCCCTCTCCCTTATCCAAGTACTAAAATGTACCTTGAATGACCAGCCTATAAGGGTCCATGTGC